CCCCCTCCCCCCCCCCCCCCCCCCCCCCCCCGGATTTTTTTGGTGCTTCACAAGCTAAATATTCAGAATCTGTACGCAAAAGCTAGCCTTCAAAAATAGTCTTGGGGTTTTGTTTTTAATTCAGAAGTCTGAACAGAATTTTCATTTACATTCCCAAAGCAATATTGCTTTAAACTAAGGAGGGGTCAGACATAGCATGACAATTTCCAGCAATGACACACATGTGGTCAACCAGTAGAGAGACTAAGACAACCACCAGCTGACACAGCTCAGCCCAGAAAGGTGCCACAATAGCTGTGCAACCAAGACAGCACACACAAGAAAACTGGTTTCCCAAGAACAACAAGGTGCAAACAAGGGAATACCATGTGAAGACTGGCTAATGAAGAAGGAGCCCAGATAATTAATATTGCCATTTGCTCCCACCCAACTTAAAAAAACCCAACTTGCCAACAACCAAGAAATCACAACTAAACCCACTCCAAGTCCCAAAGGCAGCATCAATTACTTGAAATCTATTCAGTTTGTTAATATATTACAAAATTCTCCAGTGGGTTTATTACACAAAAAGGGACTTAAGCATTTCTGAAAACATCATGATTATGTCTTTTAACCTCCTCCACATAAATGCCCTTCATAAAACCGCTGTTACCAGGCAGCTTAAATCCTGTTCTCTAAGAAGAAACAATTGTATTTTAATAACTTCAAAACTACCTCAATCTACACGAAACATAAGGAAACCCTGCAAATCCGTATAGTTAAGAATTTAAGCATAACATTAGCAAACGGCTTGGTTCCAGTCCTCCCTGCCCTGAATGCAGGACTACCGGCTTGTTCCTGAACCACATTTCATTTCCCTGCTTGACCCCAGAGCTTTTGCAGTTTGCCCCCAAGAATCATCTGCACACGTGGTGTGTTGGACAACTGCTGGAATTGGGTTATTTAGAACAAACAAACAAAAAAACACCCCCACAACTTACCCAGACTTATTTTTGAAATTATACTTCCTCCATTCATCTCCTTTTCACTCCTTGCCCCCTTATCTACAGTTTAGGAAATGCTGGGTTTTTTCCTACTGTTTTCTACTGGTGTTCAAAATTGAAAAGCTAAGAGGGGTTCATGTGACTTACGGGGCCTGAAGCCAGGGTTTTCCGACTGAAGGACAGTTCACATTTAACGCAGAGGTATTACAAAAATAAAAGGGATAGGACACCTGTCAAGAGGGTTAAGGTTATACTCACCCTTTCCTCTCTAACATATGAGTGCCAGTGTCTACACAACAGACTCTAAATGTGTCTATGAATATAGCAGTGCCCTGAATGATCAAATCCCACCTTTATTTCAGGTAAGGAAAAATTCCTCACTGGAGTCCAAGAATTATTTTTTCACTAGCGAAAATGTGACATTTCTCCTTAGAGTTACTAGCCTCTAGATTAACGAACTCCAGCACAGAAACTTTTCTGTGTAACAGGCTAGTGCCGACTGTCACAACTATCTCAGAGATCATCAGAGATGTTCATATGGGAGACACCCAGTAAACTGCTGGGGTGCTCGGCTGATGTATGGGATATGGGAACACTTCATTTAAAAAAGCCATGTTAGATTTCCACACATTTTCTGAGGCTCACTGCTTGGGAATCAGAGAACTGATTTGAAAAAGGCTAAGAAACACACTTATGAACATCTCTTTTTGTTTTGTTTTGTTTTAAAGAGCTTTAAGGCATTTTAAAGTAATAGCTGCAAAATACATGGCTAATACAGTGTATGTAAAGGAGAGATGTGATGAAAAAGACATTTTATCTGCACTCAGCATGTGTTCTGGTGAGTAAAGAACTGACCAAACTGATGCTAAAAGATCTTCACTGTACACTGTGAACAGAGTTTAATACCTCTCTTCAAGGATCTCTTGAGATGGACCTTTTTTTTTATAGCCATGTCATACAAAATTTCATCTGATCCTTACTTGTCATCCAAATAATTTTTTTACGCTACTGAACATGCTGCTTTCAATAGCAGAGTAATAGCTAAAAGCAGTATCTATTTGCAATATACTCCAAGTCTTCTATCTAGACAATACACAAGGGACAGAGCTTGCTCCCGAGGGAGCACGAGCTGCTCTCAGTGTCCGCATCACACTGTGCTTCTAGCTCCGAACCTCCCCTGGCAGGGACGTTTCAGTGCCTTCATGGCTGCGTGAGCGCCTGCCTGACCCAACATGCTGCCTTTGCTGCCCGGCCACACTCCAGAAAGGCCTCTTCAACCCTTCTAGACCTCAAAGATTTAGCAACTTAGATCTTTTTTAAAATAAATCATGAGAACAGACTGAATTCCAACAATTAGACTACAGCAAAAAAATCAGATAAATGAAAGCACCAGCGCCTAGCATTTTGGCTGATGGATTTCTCCTGACAGGAGCATGGGAGACCTAAATGCCCTTTCCAAGGATGCTGGGCTTGGGAAGAAACCCAAACCCTCAGACTGGCCACACTCCAAATATGTGAGCTCATGACTTCACCACGTACAAACAGGTTCCTAAAGGGACAAGCAAGATGAAAATACTCAGCAGGAACTTTATTTCAGTCTCAATAGCACAGAAAGTCCCTGCTTGTATCAGTAAACAACCACCACCTTCCAACCGATGAGATAAGCAACAGGCTATTTCAGCGTCCGCTCCCGGTGCAGAAGAAACACAATGACGGCCAAGGCGCCGCCAGAATCTTCCTTCCTCCGTGACTCAGCCCCGGCCGAGCAGCGCAGTGCTCCGGGGCCGGCACGTGCTGCCAGCGGGCGGGCAGGGCAGCACAGCTCACCCCGGCCTTGAGGTGCCGCCGGGCCAGCCTGGGCACCCTGCAGCACCCGGGTGGGAGAACTGGAGCGACTGCACCAGCAAGTCCCTGCCCCAGAGCCACTTAGCAAACCGGCAGCTACGCGGATTGATAGGCAAGATCTGGAAGCAGGGAGGAGACTGAGGTGGTCGTGGAAAACCTGTGAGGCAAGCCATGGCTGATAAACAGAAACTGCACAAACACGCAAGGAAAAAAGATCAGAACCTGCAAAAAAGTAGAACATCTAAGAAAGAGGAAATGGACCAAAGACCGGGTGAGAAAATGTCATGGCCCGTGCTTTGTTCCAGCTTCCAGGTACAATACAAACACTCAGTGCTGTCCTACTAGCAAAGGCTTCTCGAAATACTTCTTTTTTTTAAGCTCTAACTGAACTCAGTGCTTGTTTCTGAAAGCTTCCCAGAAATAGAGCAGACTTATGAGGTATTTATAGCTTTTAAAGCCAGTTATCATTAATTTGAATTCCCAGACTCCCAGCTTCAAACCACAACCGCCATTCCCATCTTCCCATTTTTTCTGAAGAGAGCAGAGGAATGAGAGAGGTTCCTAGTTGGAGGAACAGGTGCCAACCCTCCCCGCCAAGGCAGCAGCATCCTCCCTGCCCTCGGACACATCACGTAATCTTCCACTTCTCAGGGTGATGTTGGCTTTTATCTTCATGATGTTCTAAAATACAGAAGCTATCAAACAATAATCTAGATTTGTACAATAATGTATTATTCTCACTGTGATTAACCCATGAGCATCTTGCGGATCATGCAGTTACCTGCTCACATCTGAAAGCCTGCAGAGACAATGGCACCGAGTGTGGTTTAACTGGTCCTCTCTAAAGGCCACACCTTTAATTAATTTGCATCAGCATTCCAAATGGCATGTCTAAGTTACTATCTTTTTTAAGCATTTATAAGCCAAATACAGATTATCCTGGAAGCTTTTCACTCTAGGCTGCCTTGGTTAGTGGCAAGGCTCTGGGCTCACCTCAGGGGAGCACTCAGTAAAGGTTAACAGCACATGACAGATACGACTTCTCATTGCACTAGTATGAGGACCTACGTGAACCTTGCTAAATGGTTTCAGGGAATAACTAGCCAGTTTAGCTGACAAGATACATCACTCCCCATGGTCTTCTATTGTACTTTCAGGCCGCTCCTTCAGCTGTACCGTGCTTGCATATAGCATTCCACCATGAATGGATGCTGCTGTGTGCGTGAAACAACAAACTACTCAGCAACAGACAACAGGATCCCTTTCTACTGGGGAGCAGAAGATCAAACTCCACATTGCTTCGTTATGTGACTTTATGACAATGAGGCACTAGGAACCAAAGTTGCTGTGCTGGGTGCCTGTTTCAGTCAAACCGCTGATTGTTGCAAAGTGGGATTAGAAAGTGGTGTTGGTCTGGCTTTGTCTATCCAAGCTTTGCAAAGCACACAGAAAGCTTGCTGTCTCTACAAGATCCTAGCAAGCTAAGCCTTTTCAAATGTTTTTCCAATGATCTGGCACCAGCATGTCTAAAGGGCTGTAGGGCAACTCCATGTTGTACTGCGCAAACCAACACAGCAAGTGGTACTTCAGAAAGCCTGTCCCCACACCCAGCAGCTCTGCTGAGCCTCACAGGTTGTGCTTCACAGCCTGGCTGAAGTGACAAAGGCCATAAGCAACCTCATTACAAAAGCCTGCTGTCCTTCATCAGAATGAGGACCTGGACCCCTTCATTTGTTATTTAAAGCTTAAAAAGCGCAGTTTAAGAACCCTGTTGATTTAGACTGAAGCGTCCTGAATGGCTGCAGAAGGGCAGCTGGTAACTCTTCCCTCCAGAGCTTGGGAATGAGCCCTTGTTCCCAGCATGTGACGGGGAGGACGCAAGATGTTCCGCTGGACAGCAGAGGGTAGCCTGCTGAGAACTCTCTCCCACCCAGCACGGATTCTCTCAGCACCTCTCCTTGCATTGCTCTCCTGGAGGGGAGGTGGGGGTAGTCTCGGGGTAGAGGGAGAAGCTGGCTGCCACACCACACTGTTGGGCTGCCCCCCTGAAGCCACTGTCACCTCTCCTCTGTGACCTGATCAGGGATTGGCGGTACTGCAGCAACTCCTCCGCCTTTCCATTCCTTCCAGCGAGTGGAAGGCTGATGGAAACATGGGTTACCCAATTCCAGAGCCACGTGACCTCCATGACAAGAGCACTGCCAATACCTGACGTTTAATTTAACTTCATTTCATTGAACCCTGCTACTGTGGGCCTGAGTGGAGAAGGGAAGGGGATATCCTAGTTTTGACACATGGGCAAGATCACATCTTTTTGGAGAGCCCTAAGAAAGCTAGATATTTCTTTCTCTGGTAGATATGGATCTGAGTGTTGGAGGAGGCAGGGTCAGGATACTGTCCGCACATAGTTCCCTGTCTCTTGCCTTGACCCAAACCTTTGCAGGATTTTTGCAGGGCAAAGCACCGTCTGGATAACAGTAACTGCACCAATGTACTCCTGGTCTTTTGGGACACCTTTCTAAACCTCTTTGGCTTGACTTTTTATCTTGAAAACGCTATGAAATAACCTCTTTCCTTGGTATTTCTTTCTTGTACAGAAAGGGAGATGAGCAAGATAACAATATTTACAAAAGACAAAGCTGGGAGGGTGAAATCCTGCGAAGACCGCATATGTTCCCCTCTGAATCACCCTGCTGGGAACAGCCTGCTGAGTAGCACTATCCAGGACTTTGGTACTCTGCAACTCACAGTATTTAATTCTGAAACAAAGTACAAAAGTACATACCTGTACCGCTCCTCCTGCAGAGTCTGCATTATTAATGAATAATCCCTCTGATAGCGAACCTTAAGGTCCTCAAATGATTCTTCCAGTCTTGCCTGTGTCTCTCGAATTTCTTGAATCTCATGCAGTATTGCATCAAACCCTGAGCTCTGCATATCCAGAGTGTTTGTTTTGGAGCTAGAAGCTCCCACAGGGCCCCCTGTTGTGCTGTTGGCTCCCACTGAGCCTGACGTGGCACTAGAGCAGTCCTCTTCACTGCCATATTTTGGGCTTGACTGAAAGTTCTGAATAACACCTAGAGCCTTGCCTCCTGTCCCATCTTCCTGCCCTTCCTCTAAGGAGTCTTTCAGATTAGCAATGTTGTCTGCACTCCCAAACTTGTTCCTTATGAGGGAGGCAATCTCCCGGGGTTTGGAAACCACAGCTCCAGCTGCTGAATGTGTGGCTTGGGAGAAACTGGAAAGCCCACCTTTTACACTGTCTACTACTCCCTCACTGAAGCCAGTGACTTTTGCTCCAACATCTTTCAAACCCTGATGCATATCCCTGAAGACATCCTTTGGCTGCCGAGGGATCCCATTCTGTTCGATCTCTCGCAGCTTTCGATGGTAATGTTCTAGTTTCTTCTGCAGCTGCAAGATGGTCTGGGCTGACTTTTGATTCTTCTTCTCAAACACTTGCTTAATGCGGGCACTCTGTTGCTTGTCTGCATTGTTGGCCAGTTTCAGGTACTCTGCCACATTATCATCACGGGCTGTTTGTTCGATTTTGATCTGCTCGGTCAGCTTCAGTATCTTCTGTTGCAGGTGTGTGATAGCCACTTTTGTACGCTGAGGATCTGGGGTCCCATCAACAGAGTCTGCATTGATGCTGCCATCAGTGCTCGAGGCCACGGCACTGGAGGTCTGCGCTAAGCTGCTGACTTCCAGTCGCTCGATCTAGGCAAGGAGAGAGAGAAATATAAGCACTAATCACCAGCTACGCTAATAGAAAACCTTTCTTCTTTGTGACAACCAACTTGACAATTGGATGTAATTCTGCAAAAATGCACCTTTTTTTTCAGCTGGCCAGGGTATAGTATCAATCAGTTGAGCTCCCTGTGCTTTACAGAGGTCTAGTAAAAACTGAGAAAAAAAAGCAAAACCCCTCATACTTAAGCTGACTTGATGGCTCAAACAACCAAAAACTCAAGCACGAAGCGAGACAGGGCACCCAGGTTTGGCAGGCTGAGCTCTCTGGTATAAGGCCAGTAGCTCTATCCGCTGGCAAGTAATGAGATGGAGAACGTAACTGTGAAAGAGCAAAAGCCAAGCAGATGAAGCACAGAGCAAACCCAGGTTACTCCCAGCGCTTCACCTGTCTGCATGACAGCGAGCCGTGACAAAGCTCACCAGAAAACAAGAGATCTAAGGCCAGTGCTGGAATAAGGAGCGAGCCCTCCGAACTCGCACCCTGCCTCACGCAGGCAGGCCCGCAGCGCCTGCTGTGAGCGACGAACCCCCGGGCAGGTGCCTCCAGGCGGAAGGAAAAGAGCCAGCAAGTTTCAGAGGACAAACCCCATTTTTAGCCGGGAAAAAAAAAAAAAAAGGAACGTGAAACGCTATTTCAGCGCAAACGAACCACGCCAGGTAACCGCAGCGAACGCCGATGTCTCTCCCCCGGCTGGACGGAAGGACCGGGCGGTTCAGCCGCACCCCGACACTCTCCTTCCTCCGGCCAGGTGCGCTTTTAACGCCCGGGGCCAGCCCGCTCGGCCCCGGGGCCGCTGCCGCGGCGGGTCCTCCGGCCGAGGAGAGCC